TCTCCTTTCTCGAAGCTCCGCAACACCATCCGTGGAAAGTCTCCCAAGCCTGCTGAGAAGCGCGCCGAGGAGAACAAGGAGGAGACCGTCCAGGAGGAGCCCACCGAGGTCAAGGCCGAGGAGGCCCCCAAGATTGAGGAGCCTGCCAAGCCCGCTGAACCCGAGGCCGAGGACAAGCCCAAGGACGCTGCTCCCGCTCCCGTTGTCACTGCCGCCGCCTAGAGGGTTGCCCGGCGCTGAGCGTTGAGATTTACGACTGAATTCACAATGAAACAATAACCCCAACACCATACAACACGCGCATTGAGAGGGGTTGGGAATGGAAGGATGGAACTGCATTTCTTCACAAGATACCGAGATACCCTGTTGAGACTGCTTCACTGATACCAATTTCCATAGCTAAGTTACTGAATATGACGGAGGAGAGGAGGATGTTGAAGAAAAGGGATATCTGATGTCCGAAAATCACAAAAAAAGGTTGAATGGGCTTTCGACTTTTGATGAGTCGAGTTGCCCGCGTCGTTGCTTCTTGTTTTTCTTGTCTGATACCCGGGATGGAGATAATTAATACCTAATAATACAACTGCTGCGTGTTGATTATCTTGTCTGTGCCAATGAAGTGATTGTTCTGTCTTGACCAACTTGGGGCTCGAAAGCTGTTCCATCATGATATTTCGGGTCTTAGGAAATAACATATGGTTGATCATGGCCTTCATTCATACAATATGGCGTTATCTACTCTGTATATAAATTCAGTTGCCTTCGAGCATTAGTATTACACTTGCCAGTCCTCATCCTTGGCCTTTCCCACCTTGTTGAATATTTTCTCCATGTCTTCAAGAGGATCAAAATCTAGAAGTTAAAGAGTGCTAAGTAGATGCTCAAAGATCCTAAGTTATCCTAAGATCACATAATGGTTGACATTATTTAGGACTAAAGTCTTTAGCTTTGTGCTTCCTAAGAATGAAGGAGTTCTTCAAGAAGGACTTTGGTATTTAGCTAACACCAAGGCCAGAAATACCAAGGCCCTGGCAGGCCATGTATGTCACTCCAAAAACTTCAAGCACTAGAGGCTTTAGAAAGGCCAGAACTCGGCTAGATTGAGATAAATACCGCGGATTCATTTCAAGGTCGCGAGACTTACATTGCTATCCCTGTGCTTACTGTCAACTCCGGAACTGGTCCTCGTTGTGTCGCGCACAAGAATCGACCTTGTATCTCGTTGATGCTTCTGGTGTTGTCGGCGATATCGACATCTACCTGAGTCTATGAATTCGCATGTGTTGAGGACGCAAGCAACTGTACATAACGACGAGGGTGAGGTTGAAACTATTCGTGACGACGCCTCCTGTTCTTTCGTCCAGTATTTCCGTACCAACATCGTATCGTGAATCTGTCTCTACCCGCGGACAGACAAGCCGAGAACCAGCTTGCTTCAGGCGAGGAATGGGGAAACACTCTTCCCGATGCATCTTTCGTCACCTCTACCATCCAGAACCCGCTTGCTTTTGGGGAGGACTCGAGCGACACTCCGAAGGGCGTGAGCTTTTGGCTACCGACTACCTACCTAGGTAGTAAAGAGTTCAGTTCAGTTGGGCAACCCCCTATTGATTTCTAGCAGAGTCTACTAAGCTCATCCTAAATTATCATAAAACTACCTTGGGACTTATGTTGCTTAGGTCTAAAGTTTTCAGGCTTCTACTACCTAAGATATCTAAGTTCTTTAAATAAACAGATATCAGTAACAGATAAGAGATATCAAGGATCAGGTAGAGACATCGTATGGAATTGGGACCGAAGCTATCCTCAAGCACTTCGGCAGACTTGAACCTCAAAAGCCTAAGTTTGCTTCCAGTTTCTCAAGTTAGAAACTAGGGTCAGCCCCTCAACCGAGCCTAATCAATATCGACCGTACAACGCCCCGACGGGCAATAGAAGAGCAACACAGCTCGTTTGTTATGCAGGTGATTGTTACGGCTGTTCGCCCGTAGAACGACTACGCCATCAAAATTGCAAAAGGCATGTCAACCGTCTGGAGTCAAATTTCCCAAACCGAGCTCTTTCCCCTACCCAACACGACCGACGAAGTCATTGAAGTCCAAGGATGGACTGTTTACCAGGAAGGGACCAATGTAGATGTGCACATAGGGCTGATATGTTAATTCATGGCCTGTTGACTATCGTTGACTTACACTACACCAGGATATGATGCTGGTGAAAAAGAGTCGAACGAGGACAGATCATAAGAGGGAGATGGTAAACAGCTGAGGGGGTAGGCGGAGGCAAAAAGATGTTGGGTACTCGATAGCAGCCACTGTTGATAGTTAATTGCTGGCTTGAGCGTTCCTTAATGTTGTAAGCCGTTGTAGTAGCTACCGTGTTCTGCCGCTCATAATGGCTTAGAGTACGATTTAGTTGTCTCCTTCAATCAAAATATGTTAAAAATGCTGCTTCACCTTATAATGATGTTCCCCTGGAAAGCCATCGAAGTGTTGACCGAAGGAAAAGGGGCGCCTACGCAACTTATCTTCAATACATAGAAACTCAGTTGCAGAATAAACTACTCTATGGCTAGCATCCTGTGTGTTAAAGTGCACTGTCCTGGCCGCTAATGACAGCTCCATTCTTCATTATATATCAGACTAAACTCGCGCATTGTTGGCCATGCTCATCAGTTCATGACTGAAGAGGCTTGCCCATGCCTCCATATGTGATCATCTTCGTGATCTGATACTCTCCAATTCCATACAAGGAGCCCTCACGACCGAACCCACTCTCTTTGACACCACCGAACGGCGCAGCAGCGTCAGAAATGATACCAGTGTTGACACCAACCATACCAACCTCAAGAGACTCGGCAATGCGGTGCACACGCTCAATATCTCGGGAGAAGAAATAGCCTGCAAGACCGACTTCGGTGTTGTTGGCCATCTTGACAACTTCTTCCTCTGTCTCGAAGGGGAAGAGACCGGCGACTGGTCCAAAGGTCTCTTGTGAGGCCATGTCCATCTCAGGTGTCATGTCACGGATGACAGTAGGTGCATAGAAGTTGGAGCCAAGGTCGCTGAGTCGCTTGCCTCCGATAGTAATCTTTCCACCCTTCTTCTCAGCATCCTTAACATGAGCCTCAACCTTCTCAATAGCTCGATCATGGATCAGAGGTCCATGTGTAACGCCCTGGTCAAACCCGTTGCCTACACTGAAAGACTTGACCTTCTCGGTAAACTTGGACACGAACTCATCGTAGATTCCGCGCTGGACATAAATCCGGTTGGCGCAGACACAGGTCTGCCCCGAAGATCGAAATTTGGAGGCGATAGCTCCAGTCACAGCAGCATCCACATCAGCATCATCAAAGACGATGAAAGGGGCGTTACCACCAAGCTCCATAGAGAGCTTCTTAAGAGTACCGGAGGACTGCTTCATGAGAAGCTTGCCAACACCGGTGGATCCTGTGAAGGAGACCTTGCGGATAGTAGGATCAGATGTGAGAAGCTCGCCGAGCTCGGGTGTGTTTTCGTGTGAGGTCACGACATTAACGACACCCTTGGGGATGCCTGCGCGGTGAGCCAGTTCGGCCAAGGCGAGTGAAGTAAATGGTGTTTCGGCAGGGGACTTTGCGACGACCGTGCAACCTGCTGCCAAGGCTGGTCCGATTTTTCGTGTGATCATGGCGGCAGGGAAGTTCCATCTAGAAAATGTCAGTTATGCGTTTTGCGGGAGTGAAACTAACTTACGGTGTGATGAGACCGCAGACTCCAACGGGCTCCTTGATAGTCCAAACACGGTTCCCAGGAACCGAGCTAGGAATTGTGTCACCATATACTCGTGGTGCTTCCTCACTGAACCACTCAAGAAAGTTTGCAGCATATGTTGTCTCACCCTTGGCATCGGCGATGGGCTTTCCATTTTCCCAGGTAATAATCTTTGCTATATCCTCGGCATTGGCGGCCATTTGATCATACCAAGCGCGCAGTAGCTTTGAGCGCTCACGGCCGGTCTTGGCGCGGAATGAAGGGAACGCATCTGCAGCAGCGCTAATGGCTAATTGGGTGTCTTTGGAGTTGAATTCGGGGCATGTTCCGATGAGTTTGCCAGTGGAAGGATCTATACTGTGAGTACGGGGTATATGAGACTGTTAAGTGAGAGGGTGAAGCTCACCATGGACTTCGAATGTCTTGCCCGAGCCGGCCTTGACCCATTCACCATTGACGTAACAAACGTCCTGCTTGAGAAGTGATGGATCTTTGAGCTATAAGAGATTAGTTCTGTAATTAATCATTCAGACTATGAGATGGGTACCTTTGGGGGAGCGACATTGGAAGCTCTCCTTATGATCATCAATGAGATGACTGGAGATTGTCGCAGAGCTCCTCGCGATGGAGCGGCCAATCGTTGGAGGAGAGCCATCTTGATATCTCGACTCACTCTCGACAAAGTCAAATAGACAACACAATCAATCAACTGAAGAGATGAAGGGTCAAGACTTGGAGTTTCACCGTTGCCGATGACGGATCGAGGTTGGTGATGGCGGGGTGACGTCTTGTTAGTTAAACAAGCTTGTGTGGGGTTGACTAAAGCTCCCGGAGCCGGTATCTTGACCACTATCGGCTCCGGCGGGACCGGCACAAGAGATATCGGCATGTTGCTACCAAAGGCCGATCAATTAACCTCAAATAGTTCAGTGGTGAGTCAGTCCCTGCAGTCTCTTAACGTTCTTCAGCTTAGAGGCTTTGACACCGGCAATTCATGTGGAGCAATCTCTGTGTATTTCACCAATCGACCGGGCCGTGCTTACGAAATAGGCAATTCTGTGCGAAGGATAACTCATTAAATCTCAGTGAATTATCAGATTCATATATGAATAACAGTCAATGGAAGTCGACCCTCATCGGGCTATGTATGTTCCTTGGTATATCATCCCTAACTCCAAACACCCAATGCTCATTAATGATAGTGGTCCCTTCATATCATATCCTAAATTTCATCCTACTATCTCTTCAACCATAGTATCTGTTTTGCTGAGATCGCAGTGGCAGTTGGCGATCCAGAGTGTGAAAAGCCTGTGTTCGAGGAGTATACGGCATCGCTCGGATACTGGGAGTCTTCATGTTGTGCATCTCCCAAACGCCCCCCTTCGGCTCCGAAGTCGTAGATCCATCTTCATCGTCGTCGTCGTCCGAGACATCGTTGATCTTATTTGGGAGCATGGCATAGATGCTGAATCCTAGATTGCAGAGATAGATTGCCCTGAATCAGCGTTAGTAAAGTCGAGGCATATGCAAGTACTATACACCACTTACAGCATGTAAACACCAATTACAAGCGAGTATTTAGCAATCATGCAGCTCTTGTACTTTCCATATGGCTTGGCAATATCGCACCCAATACGGTAGTACCAAGCTGCAGGAGCGGGATATCGTGAATCAGTGTAGTCAGGTCCAATGGTTCCGTAGACGCAGACCGCGTAGAGAGCGACCATGCTGACATTGATGAAAGTGGCGAAGATGGGGTACCAAACTCTCATGATAAAGGCAGTAAGCTTGCCAAGGAGGAAGAAGAGTGAGATGATCGAAATAGCGACATTGAAATTGGTGAAGCTGTTAATGTTAGTCAATCCCTTGGGCACAGTCAGAGGTACACTCACGTTCGTGTCCAGATGAGAGCAATCTTTGGCTGAGGCTGATAATTGGCATAAGCGTAGAGAATTCTGGCCGGGTTCGAGTTGAGAGGAGGATTGTGGTCCCAGCCAATCTGCCACATATCGGTACGGTAGAGATTTGGTTGAGAGATGCCAAAGATGACCAGAGCAGGGACAATTCCAATCAGCTCAAGAGGCATCAACCACCATGTTCCCTTTCTCGATACGCGAGGCCATTTGCGGAACAAGACGCGGTAATTCTTTGCCTTGGCTGGCTTATCTGTGTGCTCTTGCTGAGAGCGTTTGAACGTTGGGAACTTCATGTTGGCGATTAATTTGATCTGATCTGAATCGATTGCTTGCTTGGTGATGTTGAAGTTCAATGTTAAGCTGTGTCGGCTGCTGGTAGCAGCTATAAACTGTTCCACATGCGATATCGTACAGAGTCCTGGTTGAGACCGTCAAATTCGTCTTTGCTGACCGGCAGCCAATTCAATAAAGATGTAAGAAGCATTCCTGGGCGGCCAGGTCGGGGTGGGCAGCAGTTTAAGGGCCTTGGAGGTGGCCATCAGCTGAGAGGGGGCCCCCATGTTGGACAGCTGTGAGAGGCTCTCGAGGTGAGAAAAGCCGCTGTGATGCTGCGTGAAGGACCTGTAGCCAGCCTGTGAGCGGGCGCCTCGAGTGATACTCTGATGCCAGTCACTGCATCTCGAGGATGAGCATCAACGGCGTGGGCCAATCAGATCAGAGAAGTGAGGTGCTATCACCACTCGTCTCCTCTGTTAAGCGCCCGGGTGGGAATCATGAGATGCCCGATAGTGATAGAGTAGCCCGATTGGTTGGGCTGGAGGCTGGAGATGCAACCTCATGTGGCTGGCTGGCCAATCAGGACACGAGAACACAGTTGAAGATGTGTTCTCGAGTGAGAGTCGCAGGGACTGGGAACCGCCAATTCTTTGCCGTCAAGTGCTCGCAGATTCAATTCCTGTGATCTACAGGAAGCACGGAAAGAACGGGTATTTTGTGTTGGTTCTTGGCCAGATTCGTTCAGATTTAGCCGCCCGTTACCATCTGTCAGTCGAGTCTCCATGTAAATGGCCTCAGTTGTGGCATCTCCATATACCGATTATCCGAGATCGAGGCTGTTTGACATTCAAAGGGTAACATATTGAGTTTGTATACTACGAGAGATGTCATTTGTGAACAACAGTGATGGCATTATGTAACCCACAGATTACTCTGCAGCAGAGTCACATCCTTTGACCAGATCAAATCATGTCATGAACAGCTCGAGTCTGAAACCTTGGATCAAAATGAGGGCATTCCCACTCCTGATGGTATACCAAAAATCGGTAGTGTACGGATACCTAGACTCCGGTCCAGGTATTCAGGCTAACCATAACCATGTGCTATGCCCTGACTATCAACGACTTTTCACAAGAGCTAGAACATAAAGAGAAGACAGCATATTTCGTCGGGCCCTAACTTAATTGTTAGTGAGAACAACAGAATCATCTGCTTCCGCATATTATCGGCCACTAGTTACTGAGGAACTTCCGCAAGAACAATAACATATTAACTAAACGCCCTTGACTGGTGTCGGCTATCAAAACCAAGCCAGCCACATCGTCACTCGAGAGGAGACTCCGCCGTCACGGCAATAACGGGATGGCTTACACGGGAAGAAGCCGTCAGAAGTCACGGATTTTACTGAGCAGTATCCACACCGCCTCGCTTTTGGAAATTCCATGCGACGAATCATGAGCATGGGGCAGCCGAGCTACCGGAGGATTCTTCTCAAGACCCAACTCCATCTCGGCCGAATAGACCATCTACAGCGGAGGAGAGAGAACGACGCAAAACCAACGTTACCTTGATAGTTGCCTCACGAAAACTTCGAGACCCCGAAACTCGGTCCGAGTATTCACGGTTCAAACAGCAGAGGCTTAAAGATTTGGGCGTTTTTTTTTTGGCGCCAAAATTCAAGTTCAACAAGGCAAGCCAAGGCCAGGGGCAGACTTCGAGACCGTGTTCTCTGGAGACAGCCATTCTCACGAGAGGACAGGGGGAGCTGAAGACATGCGGGGCCTTGGCTTTTGAGCTCAAGGCGTGGGTAAAACAGACCGTTCTAGATCTCACTGATCGTCATGGACATTTCTCGATGTGGGAGAGTGAGTTCCACGCATCCGTTCCACAGGCCAAACCATTTTATCCATTCTCCGAACAGATCGGGATTTTTTTCCCTTTCTTTTTTCTTTTTCTTTTCTGCCTTTTCCTTTTTAGCTCTGGTCTAGTCGATGACTCGTTCCGTCAATACGTATTTCCTTTTACGTAGCCCCTTTGCTTAGAACCTGCATGTGTTGACACGTTATTGCGGCAATAAGAAATACCTTACATACATGCCTCGGTACTCCATCCTTGTCAGCCCAGCCCGGGTTCAAGGTCAAGTACACCAATTGCATGCAACTCAGGGTCTTTGCTTTGAGTGATAGGAGTGGAAGTGAACTTGTGACAAGTCAGCCATGAAAAAGTGCCTGGTAGGTAGGGTTGGACTGCTAAATAGGCCCAGCATCCATGGAATGTCTATGTATGTACTTCGTATGAATGGCCAGTGATCAAATAATGGTGCCAAGACGTTGCACCGATGGTTTCGCCGCCGTTAATGTTTGATGCAGGGATCTTGGCCAATGTTGACTTGTGCATGTCCTTGTCGAGGCTCTCGGCTCTCATCTCTCTCCCGTCTTTCAGTTCCGCTCCGATAAAAGAAATCGCATGGTTCGATATACGATGATCGACAAGAGAGAAGGAAAAAAGCCTGATGACTGATCACTAAATTCATAGTGCTAGCAGAGGTCTGACAAAGTCTAAAAGCTTGTTCGATTCCCATGTCTTGCTCATGACTGGTCAACTTGGATTGAAGCGGGACGGACTAGGTCCGGTGGTCTGGGTTCGTCTGTAGCGGCCAGAAAAGAAGCCGGCCGCATGTTGTATGTGGTGGGACTGCTTACTATAGACGGCAGACGGCAGATGTGGTGAGGTTATCGGAGGAGGAGGTGATGAATGATATTGGTACTCGGCTGGATCATGACTGATATTTCACTTCTTCCACAACAAGTAACTCCATCAGTGATCATGAGTTTGTGTCCAGGTGGTCAACTCCATTGTCGTATCCCCTGTCAGCTTCAAGGACCCAGACCTCGAAAGCGGGTAGATTATTTGTTGCCAAGATGATGGGATATCCACTTACAAGCCGCCTCACACCAATTCCCCGTCCTAATCTCCATGAACGAATATGACCCCGGTAACAAACCCCGGTTCGCTTTCTCTGAATGGCTTGGCTTGGCTCGGCTCTCTCTATGTACATATGAGTTGTGGTGCTTTATGCTGTGCTGTCCCGTACAGCATTGCTGTTTTGTGATGGACTCAGAGTCAAGCTGAAGCTGAAGCAGATCAATGGGGATGAATTATCTGTTTTCTCCGTAAGCAGCCGTTGATCCTTTCTTCCTCTAGATTAGACATGTCTACCTATCATGCCCCCTTTTGTCTATCATTTACTCGTTCGATGTGAATATCACCACTAACTAGTCTTGTGCTCGTTCCTTTCCTTTGGAAATGCTATTTCCCATTCTCCTCACATCCATTATTCCCATACCCATTCAGTCGGTTCCTCAAATGCGGAGCCGTGATCAGCCTCTTTCCATCCTTATCTTGGTCTAACTGCCACTTTATTCGTTCAGCTTGTTAATCTTGTTTCCTCTCATCGACACTCTATTATTGTGACGTTCACTTCCTTCCTTTCTCTCCCTTCCCTTGTCGCCCTCTCATCTCGCTCGGCTGACAAACAACCGAACCGACGTCAGAATATCCATTCTCCACTGGACGGGAGTCTTTCTCTCACATTGACAATTGCGGCTCTTTTCGACCGGCCCCAAAACTGTTACTGATTCTACCTAGGTACTATACCTACGTACTTACTGTACTAGTACCTACGCTACATGCCAGGACCCGTCCGTTCAGTCAATTTTGACTCCGATTCCGCCACCCCAAACCCGGCCTAACTCAGAGGTTTCCGTTCGAGTCGATACTCGGCCGAATGCTTTTGTCAGACTGAATTGAATCGTATTATTCATTGGTTCCCTTTTTCCCTTTGACAAACTGGTCGAACCAACCATCACTCACATTCGAGTCAAGCTTTTAGCACCTACTGCACTCCACCCACTGAAGGACCCCCCGGACTACGGCCATAACACAGCACCGTACAGCCGACTTTTAGCTGCAAATCCCCCTGCAACTCATCCCCTCTGATCCCATATCCCATCTCGATCCCCATCCCATTTCTTCCCCCCTCCCCTTCAACCTAACATCGCGGCGGCTGTATTCCTCAACATATACTTAGCAGCCCGAGCTTTTACTGCGCCGCGCATCAGGTACTGCACCTCCCACTGAAGTCGCAGCTGCTGGCCAGTATAGTTAAGGTACTGCATCAGAGTCTCCCCACTTCATAGGGAACTTCCACCACTATTTTCGCACGCATACGGTACCTTACCTTACTTTCACTCATACGCACGCTACGCACACCCGACCTCACAGACACGCCCCTCATCTCATCGCATCTTGAATCTCGATCTCTTGCTGGCCGCTGCGCAAGGCCCAAAGCCACTGGCCACTAGGTGCCAAGGACTCGCAGTCCCTCCGGGGCTTCGATTCCCTCCTCTTCCAGGCGCCTTCATGCAGCGGTTTCCTAGTTTCAACTCTCCCTCGTCTCCTTCTGCCTCTGCTTCTTCGAATTGTCCTGTCGCAGACTCAACTGATCAAGAGAAGGAGGGTCACAAAAAGCATCCACCACCACTACCAACCTCAACCTCTGCTCTGGGTTCAGTACCCACATTTACGACTCCAAGCAACACCACTCCCACCAGCACGACTAACGCTGAGCTTGATACCGACGTTTCAGTTCTCGCTGCTGCTGCTGCTAAAGCTACCGGGGAAGCTTACAACAGGGTCACCATAACTGGCAGGAAAGCCCACGACCCTCGCCGCATATCAGAGGTACCAGCATGGAGGCACGATCTTAGCATACCAAACTTGGCCTCAATCGCGCCCTTTTCTGACTTTACGACCTCCTTCTCGCCAGCTTCGACTACCGGCGCTATTTACCAGTCAAGTTTGTCCACCGCCGGTAGTCCACGAGGTCTTAGCGCATCCACGCGAGGGCTTCCACAGACTCCCATTCCGGCGAAGCGTCCTTCCGCCCCGTCCAGAGGTGAACCCGTCATGCACCCATCGCCCATCAAGAAAGCCCGCACTGGGGCATCACCGCCTCGAAAGGTCGAACTTCCTAACCAAACTGCGAATCTTGATCCCTCAGCAAGGGGGAAACAGCAAGGGCCCCTCTCGCCTCTCTTCTTCTCCCACACGCCAGCGAGGCACGTTCATCGTCCGGCCAGCTTTCCTGCAACCGATCCTGCTGTTTCTATGCTTTCACGTATGCGAGAGGACCCGGCTGGCGGTGTCACGACCTTGAAGTTGCCTCGCGCAAGTGTGAGCTCCATCAGCCCGGGAAGATCAGAGAGCACTCCTGGTAGTTGGGGGTCTTCAATGGACGCTCCCGCTCATACAACGACCCCAGACAGTCGTAGTCTCCCTCCGGGACTGCAGATGCTACAAGGTGTTGGTGTTATTGAGTTTCTAGAGCAGGACGAGAGGCCTACCTTTCTGATAGACCTGGACAATTCCGCTAATGCTAGCCGTGCCGGCTTACACATCCTCTACTACAACGCGTCTCTACGAGGAGCACATGAGGTGCTTCAATATTTGTCAGTGGACCAAGAAGATGCTAGTGCAGACACAGATTTTGGTTGCTTCAAAACATGGATTATGACACAAACCAAGGCCCGTGTGTCGGCTGATACTCACAAGTATGCTGGTATTACCTGGACATTGTCAACATTACGACGAAGATTCCGCTTTGTTAGCGCCCAGACTTGTGTTGCTACTCCTCGCCCAAGTACTGCGTTACCGCTTATTGACGAGACAGCTGCTTCTGAAACGAGAAGTTCCGGACACTCGCCGCAGATGCCCGTTACTCCTGACGCCGAGCTCGTTGATGCGCCAGATTATTTCGGCGATGCTGAACCTGTCGATGCTAATTTTGATCGCGCAGATGTTGATGCGATTATGGAGGGAAGCGACACGAGACTACACCCTGACGAGTTTACAAACCAAGTTTTCCAATCACAACCCGCAAGGTCAATTTTCGATTGGACAAGGATACCGGTGTCAGATGCACTTCCTCCTCACATAAAGTTTGCTCGTTCTGTAGATTGGGCGGCTACTCCTCTCGGACCAATCGAAGATTGGCCTGCAGATCTCAGATCCATGTCCAACCTGATTATGGGCAGCCCACACCCCGCTGCCATGTACTGGGGTCCCCAGTGTGTGATCATCTACAACGAAGCTTATCTCGACCTTGCAGGCCAAAAACATCCCAAGTTGATGGGCTCTTGCTACATGGATGCCTGGCCTGAGATTTGGGATGAGATCAAGCCCGTGTTCAAGAGCGCACTAGAATCTGGACAGGCGACAATGAAGCACGAGAATCAGCTCTTCATTAATCGGCACGGCTTCTTGGAGGAAGCTTTCTTTTCGTGGTCTATCGTTCCCTTGGTGGGTGGTGAAGGCGAAGTGGTTGGACTATACAATCCAGCTTTCGAGAATACTCGCAGACGAGTCAATGAGAGACGAATGTTGATGCTTCGCGAGATTGGCGAGAGGACGGCTGCAGCTACCACTGTCGCAGGTTTCTGGCCCCAGGTGCAGAAGGGACTGGAGTTCAATGAACACGATGTGCCCTTTGCCCTGATCTACTCGGCTAGAGAGGACACCGAGAGCGAGGTTTCATCATTGCATTCCGGCAGCTTGATACACTCGCCCCAATTGGTTCTTGAGGGGAGCCTTGGAGCACCAGAGAATCATCAAGCCGCACTTCCACAGCTTGACATGCGACAGTCTGAGGATGGCTTCGCCCCTTACATGCGCCAATCAATGGCTGCAGGCGGTGTTCCAATTGTCCTCTCTGAAGAGAATGGTAACCTTCCTACACATCTTATGGACGGTCTTCACTGGAGGGGCTTTGGCGATCCCTCAAAGACGCTCGTTGTTTTCCCCGTTATCCCCACCACCACAGGAGAATCCGTGATCGGATTCATCGTGATGGGTGTCAACCCTCGCCGACCCTATGATGACGATTACAAGCTATTCATTCATCTGTTGTCCCGGCAGCTAGCCACCTCGATGGCTTCGGTGGTCTTGTTCGAGGAGGAAATCAAGCGTGGCCAAAGGGCTGCCCGCCTCGCTGCACTGGACCGTCAAGAACTCTCGATGCAACTTTACCTCCGTACACAAGAAGCTGTGGAAAGCGAGTACAGATTTACCCGAATGGCTGAGTTCGCTCCTGTTGGCATGTTCATCGCCAACTTCGCGGGCAAGATCAACTATTGCAACGATATGTGGTGGCAGATCTCGAGGCATTCCCGGTCCGAAGATTCTGTTGATACCTGGATGGATAGTGTCAGAAACGAGGACAGACCAGCATTGGAAGATGCATGGGACAAACTCCTCAGAGAAAAAGTCACGATTTCAGTGGAATTCCGGTTCAAGTGTTCTCAACAGAGCGATGGAAACACGATTGATACCTGGGTTCTGATGAGCGCTTATCCCGAACGGAACCAAGAAGGCAATCTCAAGTTGATATTTGGCTGTATCACAGACATCTCTTCTCAGAAATGGGCCGAGAAAGTGCAGAATGAGCGACGTGAAGAGGCGGTTGAGATGAAACGACAACAAGAGAACTTCATTGATATCACTAGTCACGAAATGCGGAACCCTCTGTCAGCTATTCTACAATGTGCTGATCAGATCGCAAACAACATCACCGTCTTCGATTCGCATTCTGTCAAGACAGAAGTTGAGAACCTACTGGAAGGATGCTTGGATGCTGCAAACACAATCAATTTGTGTGCCAGTCATCAAAAGCGTATTGTGGATGATATTCTGACGTTGTCCAAGCTGGACTCGAACCTCCTAGCCGTTACACCCATCGACGAACAGCCTGTTAGAGTTGTGCAGCGTGCCCTGAAGATGTTCGAATCAGAACTGGTTGCCCACGATATCGAGTTTGACTTCAAGGTGGATCAGAGCTTCGAGCAGTATGGCATCAAATGGGTGAAGCTTGATCCTTCCAGACTACGACAAGTCTTGATAAACTTGATGACAAATGCTATCAAGTTCACCCAAGGTCGTGAGAAACGAGCCATTACTGTCAGCCTCAGCGCTTCAAGGCACGTGTCTGAAGTCACACGGAAAGGCATCTCATACTTTGATAGAGTCGACCATCAACGCACTGCGGTCATGGATATCAACAACACTGACGAGTGGGGCCATGGAGAGGAGATCAACATCCACTGCACAGTGGAGGATACTGGTCCTGGCTTAATCGAAGAGGAGATGAAGCTTCTCTTCCAGCGATTTCAACAGGCAACTCCGCGAACACACGTTCAGTACGGAGGCTCGGGACTGGGTCTCTTTATTTCTCGTATCTTGACAGAAATGCAGGGTGGACAGATTGGTGTAACGTCCCGCCGTGGCATTGGTAGCAGCTTCAGCTTTTATATCAAGTGCCGACGCACTTTGACTCCTCCTGAGGAGTACGAACAGATCACGCCGTTTAAGATCGCTCGAAAGTCTCACGCCCCAGCCCTTCCGCAGAAGCCTGAACTCAATCGCCAAACATCTCGAACGACGACGACAAGCGAAGACACAACCCAACTGTTTGATGTTTTGATTGTGGAGGACAACATTGTCAATCAAAAAGTTCTTCAACGACAGCTACGAAATTGTGGCAACAACACGTTTGTTGCGAACCACGGTAAGGAAGCTCTGCAGACTCTGGAGCGTTCAAGATTCTGGGCTGGAAAAGAGGCTGAAGGTGTTGACATCTCTGTCATCCTGATGGACTTGGAGATGCCCGTCATGGATGGAATGACCTGTGCTCGAAAGATTCGAGAGCTGGAACGAGAGGGAACCATTGTGCAACATATCCCCATCATTGCAGTCACGGCATATGCACGACCAGAGCAAATCGAGAGTGCCAAAGCCGCAGGAATTGTGAGTTGGTCGTGCCAGACTTTATTAACTTCATCACTAATAATTTATTTTAGGACGATGTCATCTCCAAGCCATTCCGGATTCCTGAGCTGTTGCCCAAGATCGAAGAGTTGGTCGGTAAATACAAGAATCTCTCGGTATCTACTTGATGCTGCATAGGTACTGTTGAGCCAGCTCATGCCTAATTCTGCATAGATGCTGCGCCAACTTGTGCACCTCATGCTCTGTCAGGAGAACTATGCAGCTTCTCCACGGTTTATGAATATAACGAAGTCACTCGACCTGGATGGTTAGACACACCCTCACCATGGACATAATTACTTCACCAACCGATTACAACATACTATTCTCTATTTGGCTCCATGTAGCATTTGGTGTCATGACATTTGGCGTTTTGGAAAGAGACAAGGCTGGTTTGCGGGATGGCGAGCCCGCAAGATCATTGGAATGTAGAACATGGAAGCGACTCTTTTGGGTTTTATGTGTGAATCTCTTTTACAGAGCATATGGAGCAAAAATATCAGTGAGGATGGGGTACGATGAGCATTAACAAACACGATAGAGGATATACGACATGCTGGCGTTGTTGGGCTGACGGACGTCGTTTTATGGATGGATATCTCTGAGTAAAGATATGGGCTGTGTTAGTTATACCTGCCCTACATGATCATGGCTGATCATGATTGTTATCTGCATATATCTAGACAAACCCGTTTATTCGTGATTTGTTTTGTGATATGGTGATCTCTGTGAACATGATGGAGCATAAAGCTACGATACAGCGGGGGAGGTTATCCCGAACCTACACGTCGTCTCCGCGATGGCAGACATGGCGAAGACAGAACAGAACGGGATCGATGCTAAGATGAAGAAGCTGTCTGAGAAGTACAAGAAGTCAAGTGCAGTTCAAGGACGATCCCTGGTTTCTGGTGTTTTGTGGTTTAGGTATCGGTTTCGCCTACAGCGTGAAGCAGGAAATTTGAACACCACAGCACGGAGTCGGTTTATTGGTACGTAGGTATATACTGCTTGACTTCAGTACTAATTGATAGTAGACTGTTGTATATTTGAAGTGGTCTCATAACTCTTAGCGGTCATTACTATCGAATTCGTTGCATACCCATTGATGCGTGAATCACTGCCTCTAAGCTTATAAGTGGCTCGATCCAAATCCTTACCCTTTCCTTTCCATAATTCTCTCCTCTTGATCTCTATCTTCTTTTGCATCAGAGCATATCTGCTTACCACATGGATGATTGGCCATGTCAGCTACGAACGTCAATCACTCGTTGCTTCGCGCAGAAGCTCTACGTCGATTAGAAAATGAACTCAACGACATGGTCATGACGGGATATATAAATATCCCACCTACTCACCATTTTCAGCTGGATGAAGATGGTCTTCCCAAAGTGACCCCACGACCAATCCCTCAAGTGTCTTCAGAACGACTATCTCAGATCAAGAGTTACATCAAAGAAAACCTCCAGCACCAATCAACACATTGGAAGCACACAGTTGACTGGCTCGACAACTTGGAAACATCTGCATCACACGAGGAGCTCTGGACGGCAATTAGGGAGTGTCATGATAAAACTATGGAAGACTACACCTGGCTAGATCATGTACTGCGGACTCTCGAACTTCAGCCATGGAGACTTTTGCTCTTTGATATCAAAGACAAACTTGCTCCAAGCATCGGCCGTATTGTTGGCACATGCGATGAAACAAGCAACTCGGAAGACATCGCTTCCATCGAACTCGGAAAGCTCATTAACCAACATTATGGCATCTACGTCTTGATTTCTGTAATCCACAGTTGCTATAGCAAGGCTATAAACATCAACATCCTCAGGGAAAGAAAGTTGCAGGGAACCAGAGTTGCACAATGCCTGCGGCTTTTGATCAATGCAGTTTCGCATGCCAACCCCGCGCACAATCTTGATGCAGAAGTGTTTCTGTCTCTAAAGAATAGGTGCGACGACATCGCCAATGGGTGTCGTGATGGATCTCCGGCCTGATAAACTTACAGTCAGTCAGTCTTGTACGGGGATACAAACAAACTGGAGCTTGTTATCTCCAATCAAAGTCCAAGCGATGCTGACAAAATTGGCGCAGAAGAGGCCGATGCAGTAAATATTTGTTGGCATGGCGATACGAACGAGGGATCAGCTATACCCGGCGGGGACCATATTAATGTTGAGGCCCGGGAATATCAGTCGGGTTGATGGGGGGAGAAGGGCAAGTGTGAGGCGCGTAAGACCAAGGGTATCAAGGTAGAACAGGACATGACAATAGAGCCACCTCAACCCAGCCCCAGAAATAGTCTAGCACTAGGGGCCCAGCAGTGAAGCATGGCAACCAACAAACGAGCCTCCATTCGCTTTACCTATGGCTAGGTACTGATGATTCCGGAACTGCAGTGTACACTGACAAACTTTAGGATAGGAAGCCGTCGGGCTATTTGCATGTGTGTGTGTGTGTGTGTGTGTGTGTGTGTGTGTGTTGGCCTAGTCAGTTTTCCTCTTGTGATGTCTCCACTGACAGAGCTGTAACTAGTCTCTAAGACAATCAGAACTCTCTCATATTACGTAGCGGAGTTCAATGTCCAGGTCGTTAAAGACCTATTTACGGAGTAGATTGATAAAGACTGACCCCTGTCGCCTTTCAACGTCACCGACAAAGTGCTTCAGCGGGAAGATCACGCACTTACCCTTTTATGGTCTGGGCTCAATTGCTCCACCCGTTTTCAACAAAGCCTACGGAGTAGACTCGATTATTTTTGTCCGCCTGACAAAGCCCTTGTCACGGCGTTTACTATTCATGCTAATAGAAGAAAACTTTGATTCTGAACAAGTAAAATTAATAAAAGAATGGAAGAAAGAAACAATGTACTAAAGCTTTTTGTTAGCAAGAATCTGTTTCTTTATGCTCAGCTGGATGCAAGATTCCGCTCACAAATAGCACTTGTTTATAGCATTTGCATCCAATGACAGCATGTTTTTTCCCGCTGGATGCAACTTGGCTTCAGTGCCCCGCGCTAATCAGGGACCTTGCAGGCGGGTTTCCCGCTAGAATCAAATATTTGCTTCTCTTTTTGACCAATCTCTGAACTCCCCGCGTGACCCGCTCACTCTAAAGTGCACTGTGGTGCAGGGCATCGTAGCGCAGTACCACAGGTCCTCCATCCCATCCATCTGGTAAGGAGACCTCTTGGGGAGCAAGAAAACACCGGACCTTGATCTAGGTGCCAAAATAACCCTGTCAAAGAGTCCCCTAGACTTAGGCAAGATTTACCTAAATATTTTTATTGCTTAGGGTCAAGGTCCTGAGTTTTCTTTCCTCCCTAGGGAGACATGCATTTCGGTGGCGACCTGCTTCCTTGTGGAAGTACCTCACACTTTCTGCCACTGACGGGAGCCCAGGAGCCCCCCCCCCTGCACTCGTTCAGCCTAGTACTGTTTGGGTCGACATTCCGCTTCATTCTTTTCTGCAACCTGCTACTCATTCACTCACTCACTACCTGACACCTACTACTACCTTACCCTAGGTAGCCTCCATTTTCTCTTCTTCTGTTCATCATCGCGCAACAAAGCCCCTGGTCTCCTTTTGTTCTTTTGTGCCTTTGTCCTGGTTGTTCGCTGTCAAGAATGCGAGTTCGGAGCCTCACGGCGCATACAAAAACTCTGGCCTCTGTCCTGAAATAAGTGGCGATTGTGCTCACCTCTTACTCGCTGCCTTTCTCGCTCACCCTCACTCTCACCCTCACTTTTGTTCTCCACTGCTAGACGACATCAATCAACATCAGAACCTCATCGCTTGCCTGTCGCTTTGGCGAGGCGGGCTCCTCCCGGCTTCCATGGAGATTCAACATCCCCCGCATGAGTTTGCGGAATCCGTTCTTCATTTCCAGCATTCTTCGCACCTTGAACCTGAACCTGCGCCTGCGCCTGGGCCACTTCCCACTACCGAATCCCTAGATGAGCAGCGTCCAATCCCCGCCAAAACACAGCAAAACGTCATCGAACCGCAGTATCCTCAACCGTCTCAATTAATCACAGACCAAGATGTCATTACGAATGGACCATCTCCCCTAGGACAAGTCCCATCACTCTCTCCGGACCTTGACGAAGACGACGCAAGCTCGATTCTCAGTGATCTACCATCCGAATTGGATGAGCCTGTCGCAGAACCTGACCCAATAGATTTTGATTGGGATGGCCCCGAGGGACATCAAGTTCTCCGACTCAAACCAACCGTCGAGCAATGGAACGACTTCCCAGCAAATCTCGCATTTGCCAGAAGTCTCAAGGCCGAAAGCCACGGTTGTTTTAAAATCGTCCTTCCTGAGGAACTCATAGAAGACCTCCCAGCAAAGGACTCCCAAAAAGTACCGGCGAATGCTTATCGCCCTACACAAATAAAAAGGAACAGTTTCTGGCGAGTTGACACGGTTCCGTCCGTCGGCAGTTTCAACTCGTCCGTTACAGGCGCGAAATGCAATGTCACGGCGATCAAAGCCATCGATCAGCTAAGAAAACTTTATCGCAAGAACGACCACAAGCAGATTCGCAATGTACGTTATCGAGTTGATGTGCCTGCATGGACTCCCGAACAACGCCTCGAAGCCGGAGTTCCTGAAAAAAGCCCAATTTATCCCCTCAAAGGTGATAAACTGGATAACACAAAAGCCATAATTCCTGGAATCCATACTCCATATGTGTATGAATCAGGGCCCCATTTCGGGGCAAGTTTTCAGATACACGCAGAAGACTTCCGGTTGGTTTCGCTGAATCATCTATACAAGGGACGGAAGATCTGGATCGTTGTACCATCAACTGCGGTTGATGTCGCAGAAGAGGCGCTTGGCCGCAAGGACAAGTGCTCTCAGTTCATGCGGCATCGAGCCGAGTTTTTCTTTCCCCAGAAACTGGAAAAACTTGGTATTCCTTTCCGCGTCATTGACCAGCGCCCTGGCGAGACAATAGTAATTCTCCCAGATGCATACCACGAGGGCTTCAGCACAGGCTATACGATTGCTGAAGCCAAGAATTACGCTGACGATGCGTGGACGACGAGTACATATCAGCCATGCCAAGCGAAGTGCCAGCTGGCCACGGCCATCCCGGCCGACTTGCTGAGGCCATTGCAAGAGGGAGAGACACAGCTCGACCTTTGTGCTGGTTTTGATTTGGCGGCAGAGCAGGAATCACCTCCTGCGACGCCAGCACCCGAAAAGACAAAAAGACGTTTCGAGGACGACGGACAAAGTGTTGGGAACACTAAGCGGGCCAAGGTCTAGAACGGCGCATGGGGAAGGATACTGCTCATTTACATCACATGCTTTTACGGAGTTGCTACGGCTTTGCTTGTTGATGTGTTGGTCATCGACTATTGCAATCTGCTAGGGGTGGGATTTTGCTAGGGATGGCTTCAATACCCACGATGCCCGGCGTATGACACTTTTCGGCAGATGGCTTTGATTTTACGGATTAGGAACTTGGTTGTTTTTGGCGATGCCCTCCTGTACAGAGTACTTTTGTTACATGGACCTAAGAGGTCCCTCTATTTTCGGTCTAGAAAGGTCTTTTTTCGTATTGATTTTCGTTATGTGTCGTGTGAAAACGTTACACCCAACTTCCCGCCATCTATCTACATGCACATTACAACATGTCATTTGTGAATATTGGAACAGATCCAATAATTACATGACGTCCAAGATTAAAAAATTCCACCTCTTTTTACATACGTCTCTCCTCCTCCTGTCTTCGCAATTCGTCGCGGAAAGCATTGCGACCACCTGTAGTGCCCTGCTGAGGGAACGCAGCATCAACAGGGCTACCGGCCAAGCTGCCGAGACCGTCGCTGTCGGCACGAGCACGCTGAGGAGCATCACGGTATTCACCAGGAGGGGGAACTGAAGTATCGAGCTGGATACCGTTATCTCTGGCACCAAAGATACGGCGTTTAGCACGGCCGGTGTAACCGTGACGAGAACGGCTCGAGATATTGCCGAGTCCGATGCGGCGGGTCTTGCGGTTCCAGAGGAAGCCACCGACGACGAGGAGGAAGAGAGAGCCGAAGACGACAGGCAGAGCGATGGTCAAGGTCTGGCCCTCAGGCAACTTCTCGTGGGTCTTCTCAGGGAAGTTCTGATCATTGAGGTTGAGGTAAAGAGTTGAGGACTTGGTCTTCTCGAGCGAGTTGTTGCTGTTGCTGTAGAGGGTGAGGGAGATGTTGTAGGGCGAGTACTTCATGTATTCCTGCTTGACATCAAAAGGCCAGTAGCCCCAGGCGGCGGGGACGGCGAAATCGGTGAATTCCTTGTACTTCTCCCATTTTTCGCTAGTACGGTTGTAGAGGTCGAGGCGCGCAGTGACCAGGAGAGTAGAGTTATCAGAGGACTTGGTCTTGTTGAAGTAATCGGGATCCCAGGTAACTGAAGATCTGTTAGTTATCATAATTGACGGATAAATGAACTGCTCTGTTGCTTACCAAAGTATGTGTTCTTAACATCAAGGGTGCTGTTGGCGTAAGGCGAGCAGAAAGGAGCATTATCGCCATCCTTGTTGTGGCATCGCGCAAAGACACCCTCGCCATGCTTGCCGGTGGCCTGGGGGTTGGGAGGCTCGCCAGTGCTGGTGTGAATCTTGCCCCAGCTGGTGTAGGTGTAGACGGTGGCGGTAAGATCGTGAGGAGGAGCGTCAATCAGAGAAGTGGTACCATCGACGGTGGTATACGAGGGAGTGTATGTCGTCGCGGGCTGCATCTCATCATCGACAGTAACCCAAGCAGCTGTCGGTTCGGCTCGCTTCTCGAGAGCAGGAGCATTGGCTTCGAGATCGCGCTCATAACGGATGACTGTGGCATGGGCAGAAGCCGCAAGGCCAATCGAGGCGATGATCTTTGATGCGTGCATTGTTCTTGTTGTTTTGTTTTTGTTCCCTCGGCGATGCGATGCGATGCTTGTCCTTGACACGACGTTCCCTTCCCAGTGAGACTCTGCCTAATCACACACAATAACCGCCGACGGAGAACAAGGGCGACAATGGAAAAGAAAAGAGGTAGAGGTTGAAGGAAGGGAAAAAGAAAAGACGTTGAGAAAAGCTGGGACACGGGAGATTTGAATGCCAATGCGAAGCAACCAGCTAACAGGAGAGGCCGATCGGTCCGGACGGGACCAACCACAGCAAGGACTTTTTTATTTCGCGCAGCGTTCCAGTGGGTCTGTAACTGTTAGTGTGTTATTCCCCAGGGGATAGCCAGGGGCACCTGGGGGGGCCAAAAAGTTGTATCTTTAATCAGTGAGCTAAAATAAATTAATCAAGTGCTGACTTTATAAAGCCTAAGTCAGCCTCAGTATTTCTGTCATGCAATGCCAAGTCTCAGGTTTTCTGACCACGCCTGTGGGCATTAGGGGGGTTTCAGTGGAAGCTAATGCCGGAGAAGCCGCCAAGATTGGGCGAGCCTTCGGGAAGGGCGAGGATGTGAGCGTGATGTCATGGGTATGAACATCCATTGAGTTCAAGATCTTTTTATGCATACCTTAGGTAGGCACTTGAATGGTGAGGTTGAACAAGCTACAAAGCTTCAAGTATCATTCGAATGTGAGTCTTGGTTTCTAAGCCAAGGCCGATATCTAGAACTCGTCTGCTCTGTTTATCGGGTACCATTGCTCCAGCATTTCTTGATATAATTAATGTATTCGATGTATAAATTTCTCCGAATGTCGCGAAGATTGTGTGACAGTATGTTCTGTAGCTTGTCTATTTAATGTAAATCCCCGCGGGCTTTTACCCCTCTGCATTGGATGTTACCAGTCTGGTCCGCTTCAAGTTTGAGAGATGAACCAAATACTTCCCTCTCGGGGAGCAAGAAGACACCAGACCTTAATAAAGGGTATGAAGATAAACTCAACAAAATTTGTCATGGTTTTAATTCAATTCCTCCCCGAAACACTGAACAAACAAGCACATACTAGCCACAACTCATCCTATAGATAAGTTGCCTATGATATAAACTGCATAACTAACAGATAAAGAAATAATGAACAAGGGGGCAATGAGTCTGCTCAACAGTCTGTGCTGTAAAACGAGGCTAAAGATGCCTGGATCGCGGCGATAACAATGAGGGAAGAAAGTGGCCCACAATCTCTGGAGTTTTAGTAGGAATCTCTGGTAGTATCTAGGTATCTTTCCCTTATGATTTCTGGACTACCTCCTATTCTCTATGTGTTCTAATGCAAAAATTAATAACTCTTAATTGCATTTAGAGGACAGAAGGAGTGCGGGATGGCTTATTTTCCTTCTCTAATACAACTTGACGTCCATGACCTTGTCAGGAGACCTGGTTCCAACAAGAGTAAATCCCATGACGTTGCTAGGAGAGCCGATTCCACCAGGAAAATATCGAGGTGTAGACTGCTGAACGATAACTAGTTTGCGGATGTGATGGCATGCTGAAGCGATATCCACAATCAGTTTGCGATATCCTCGCTCAAGATCAGATTCGGTTGCATTTTCGAACTCCGCGGTTTCCGTAACGGGCTCATTCAAATACTCAAGGACAGTAGCTCGGTCAAAGTTTATGCATGGTATGCTGAGCCAGAGCTCTTGAATCGATGTTTGGTTGAGAAGTTCACAGACTGTGCTCAACGAGTCTGACTAAGTAGATGTGAGCTTCTTAACAAATGGGACAGCTTGTTTTCGAAACGACAAGCTTCTGAAGTAGGAAACTCACAAAGACTATAGTCGTCCACTCTTCATACCAAATTCCATATGAACTGCCTTGGATACTGAGGCATGTGAGATCTTTGAAATGGGTTTTGACTGCCAGAATGATCTGGTCATCTAACAATGGACCATATTCGTCGCGTGAAACGTTGAGCTTCTTCAAAGAGTGCTGGCTTCCAGAAGAAGAGCAAAGACGCACTAGCTCATTGCACATCGGTTCCCCGTAGCACCCATCGATACTCACGGTTTCGAGGATTTCTGGAACACAGCGGCTGAGAACGGCGCATAATATCTCTGACGAAGCCGAGATTCTGAGACACTTGACCTTATCCCATTTCCGAGTCCGCATTAAAAGTTCACAGAGATTCTTTTGTTGCTCCTAGGGCCACCCTCTGAGAGACAAATACAACTCTTGCAGTTCGGTCATTTGCGAGATGCTATTCACAAGTAAGGGCCCAAGTTTCTCGTACAGTGATAGCTCAATTCCGATGCGCCCAGGGTTCTGCATGATTATTACTGTCTTCCTGAGGTAATCTTAGGATGATTTTATATGCTTGGAATGTATTGCAACTCACCTAATAAAACTGAACTGCTTCATTGCAAGGAAAGATGTGAATAGGTGGGAGAGAGATCCAGGGAGACCTTGAAACCAAAGCCGTCTCAAGTTCCTCGCGACAAAGAAGTCGTAGTATATTTTCGACACGAGAACCAGATTTTTCACGTCTTCTCCATACAGAAAGGATGCAACAATGTCTCGACACTCCTGGGGTAGCTTCTCCATAACTGATAGCGAAGCGTAGGTATTGAGACAACAAACTCAAGAAAATAAGAGTGGTAGAACATGCGCAGACGATGCTAGAAGCTCTCTGATAGTTTGGGGTTAATGAAAAGAAGAATGATGATTCTCTGGTCTGCGTCCAAAGTGCGGTGATCTTGTTGAGATGGGTCAAGGAGGAAGGGGCATAAGCGAAGGGGGTCGCATATCTCTAGCTGGGAAGGATGTTGGATGCACTGTCTGTCATTAGCTGAGGTAGTCGTGACAGAGTTTCAAAAGAGCAGTTACGAAAGGGGACTTTGAGTGTCGATAGCAGCAGCCATCGATGATAGGTAGTACTCGTGAGACCTGAGAGCTGCCGTGCAAAGTATTTTTAGGTAAGAGTCGCAAGGATTAACAATTCATTCCCTAAATCTCCTCGAATCCAAGACACTGTGATGACAGAACGAACCGCCATATATTAGATGGAAGGGAAAGGCAGCCGGCTTAGCTTATACAAAATATACGAGGCGCACTCAGCATATTCAGCATATCGTTAACGCACATCAACCCAATTCATCACTAGAATACTCATTGTTACAATCGTAAGCCTTTACGACAGAGAATCATTAGTCCAAAGGTAGAAGTAGTGTTTGCTACTTAGAGACGTAAGTTGTGACGTCCCCGTCGTCGACTGTATTAGTCATCAAGTCTCAATTATCAACTGCCTCGCCCAACCATCTTCTCAATGATGCATTATCAACACTTACCACGCAGCATTGGGTATTCTTCTTCCAAACTACCTAGAAATAACATCTCTTTCATCGCTGAAAACTATCATATTAGAGACAACAACTATGTCAGTCACGCTGCACACGTCGCACGGCGACATAAAAGTTGAGATATACTGTGAAAGTGTTCCCAAAACTGCAGAGGTTTGTATAAACCAGTATATGTTTAGTCCCAGTCTTTCGCTCACACCTACCAGAATTTCCTTGCCCTCTGTGGCTCGGGCTACTACGATAAATCTCCATTCCACCGCCTCATTCCCAAGTTTATGGCACAGACTGGCGCCCCGGCAACACCAAATCCCCCCGAGAACCCCAAAGGCGGACGCAGCATCTGGGGAGGCGCGTTTGAAGACGAGATCCGGCCAGCGCTACGACACGGCGCTCGAGGCGTGCTGTCGATGGCCAACAAGGGACCTGGGACGAACGGATCGCAATTCTTCATCACGTTCGACAAGGCGCCGCACCTGGACGGACTCAACACTGTGTTTGGACGCGTCATCGGCGACGAGGGTTTGGCGACATTGGCCAAGATGGAAGCTATCGAGGTGGACCGAAAGAACAGACCCAAGGAGACAGTTTGTATCGAAAATGTGACGATCCACGCCAACCCGATCGCTGGTTGAAATACCAACAATGTCCTTCGTACTTCTTGTCTCGCCACATTGCACCATACCTCCTCAAACGAAGCAGTACTACCGTTACGGCACATCACTGAAGGGAGACGAAAATTGCAAACGGTTTATCACACCAAACTTCATTTTGAAGACTTTCATTCATTATATTCTCAATCTACGCACGCCAACGAAAACCCCTTGAACTCTACCGGAATCCTAAACTACCCCTTCAGGTGAAGAAAATTTCTACCCTCAAAATAAGGTGTCAAGAACAACCAGTCTGAAGGCCTATTGAGGACTTCTCAACTTACCGAAATCGTCTTATTGTTTAGGATAAAGCTCCTAAGTTTCTTACCTCTCCTGGCCTCGTTAGCTGGCATCGGTGGAGTCTCATAGTCATCTTCAAAGCGTCCCCATTCCAACACTTCGGTTTTTTCCTTACTTTCGATGCGGTAAGGGACCTCCTCGTCCTTCTGGGTGACATAGATCATGTCGTTCCATCCGTTCATCTCCATCTGCCACATGAGCTTCAGGAGTTCCGCGTGGCTGCAAGCATTAATGTTTCGTACAGAACAGGTAACCAGGAAACGGCCCCTCAATTTCCGAACAATGAGAAATGCTCGTTGGCTGGGATGGTAAGCAGGAAGCTCACTGGGTCCATCGCTCTGCCCTGCGGTGATAATGTCATGCAGAAATTTCCACCCTTTCGAACCATGATGCATAATATTTGGCTGTCGTTGCCGTTGAGCCTCTACGAATGATAGGAACAAGAGGGTAAATTCGCCTTCATAGTCCCGGTCAGGATCCGGAGTCAACTTACCTTCGAGGATCCTTTCGGTCTTGGCCCGTTCTGCAATCATTTCGGTATCAACTGTGCCATTGTATTTCGTGTCTCCAAAAAGATCCATTTTCTCCCTTGTGAAAATCAGGGAGTCACATGGTGATTCACTGCCCATGGATTCTGGCTCGCGTTCTGGAGTGGGCGTATCCTTTTGGTTGCAAATAACGAAGGAGCTGTTGGCGATGGCCCGTTGACCCGTTGATGTGCGGGTGTTTTGACGCCTTCGGTCTGCTTTGATATCAAGCCTCTGTGGCTTGAACGCGTCTCGCCATTTTCTCACATCCTTGATATCGATGTAGAATATACGACGCCCTGCGTCACTGTTGTCATTGAAGCAAATCTTGACGCCGGGGGCAGCGGTCCGTTTGGGTCTGGGAAACAACATGCCCGCAAAAAATCGATAGTTCACGGGTCCAACAGGAGTTTTTGAAGGACACGAGTGTCGCTGTGTTACGTTGCGTCTCTTAGAACCTTTTTATCGTCTAGACCAGCCTGACGACATGAACAGGATTGAAACTGAGACCTTACCGAGAAGCCTGAAGCCGCGTGATGAGAGAAGAATAACACGAAGCTCGAGACCTTTTATATTAGTATGCGGGGATTTCTGCTAAAAAGGGGATAATTCTCGGGCAATGAACAATTGTGTGTGAATAATGAGTGTTCATCTGAACGCAAGCCCTAGGTAGTTTCGTGTACAACAGGTGATAACAGGATTTAGTTAAAGCTGCTCTGAACAAAGCAATAAATACGTGTTATTTGTAATAGCCTCCCCATATTAGAAAGTTCATGTGAACTGTGTTTGTTTGAAACGTTTTAAACAGAAATTATATTAGCACAAGGTGAACAAGACGAGGCATAACTGATGGTTTAGCGGGCAACCACCTAGTTCTACGGTACTACAGACAAAGGTTAGGGGATCGTGTACGACCGGGACAGGAGCAGACAAAGACGAGTAGTTATTCCTATAGGAAAGAGCAAAAAGAAAATCTTGATGAGACTGGGACTCGAACCCAGGAGGATTGCTCCACCAGGAAATTGGTGTTAAGGTTAACCTTAACCTGGCGCCATTAACCTGGCGCCATAACCAACTCGGCCATCTCACCGGACGGTCGTGAGGACCCGCTTGTTGAGTAACGATTTTGCTAGCCAGTAGATAAACAGTAGATAAACACCCAGTGCTTCTGTGAGTACCTGGACTACCTTAATCAAGAGTATCATTGACACAGTTCTTTGACTTCCTGCAAGAACACCATTATTTGTGACATAGTAGAGTTGCGATCGATGTGTATTGACAACTGTATCAGTTATTCGTACAACATATTGACGACATAGCATGCTGACGCTTGTAAGGCTGGGAAGGAAAACGCCGGATTTATGGGCGTGTTTATTATTATTGATCAAGTTCAAGCCATAAGGTGAGAAACCTGAACTAGGAAAGTTTTCAAGAGATTTTATTGCAATTACTTATAAAAAAGAAAGAAAAAAGGGCTCGCATCTCCCATGGCTATAACCGGCCTTTTCCTTCCATCTAAAAAGATTACATGCGATGTTATCGATAAGACTCCGTGTGGATCTCTCATGCAGGCCAAGCCAAGCTTCTTCTTAGCTCTTCCAGTCTTCATCACACGCGACTTGAATTCTACAACCTCAACAAGTAAACACCCAATCTCCGTTCACCAATACTCAAGGCGTCGCAATGTCGGCGATCTATAATCTTGAACCGCAACCCACTGCCTCGGTTATTATTCACACCACCCGGGGCGAACTCTCCGTCGAGTTATTCGCGAAGCAAACGCCCTTGACATGTCGCAACTTCTTACAACTAGCGCTCGACGGCTATTACGATAACACAATATTCCATCGATTAGTTCCAGGTTTCATATTGCAAGGTGGAGATCCTACAGGCACCGGCAATGGAGGGGAGTCCATTTACGATGGAGGCGCATTCAGCGGCGACCTAGATCCATGGCCCATGGACCAGCGCCAGGGGAAGAATGCAGGACCAACAGGAATCAATTATAAGGACGAATTCCACTCTCGACTCAAATTCAACCGGCGTGGTCTGCTGGGCTCTGCGAACGAATCGCGTCCAGATACCAATGGTAGCCAGTTCTTCTTCACGCTCGACAGGGCCGAGGAGCTCAATGGAAAAAACACCCTGTTTGGCCGAATTGCCGGCGACACGATCTACAACTTGGCTAAAATGGGCGAGGGGGAAGTGGACGAAGCCACGGAACGTCCGACCTACCCAGTGAAGATCGAACGAATAGAGATACTGGTCAACCCCTTTGATGACATGAAGAAGCGATCTCGAGTGGCTACCCAAGCGCCATCTAAAACAGCAGCAGCAACAAGCAAGGATAAAAAGAAGAAACGGAAAGGCGGGAAACAACTGCTCAGTTTTGGCGACGAGGAAGGTGATGACGACATGCCAGTGCTCAAGAAAAAGAAATTTGATACGAGAATTGTCATGGAAGATGAGGGAGAAGACGAAATCCCCAAGAAACCAGCAAAGCCGAAAGCCAAGAAGCCAACAGTAGCGGAGAAGCTCCCATCGGTCGCAGATGAAGTCAATGACAAAGGGCCGATGAAGCCCACGCTTGATCAGCCATCCAATGAAACACGGCGGAGTCCTGGCTCGCTTACGATCAGGGAAGTGAAGGACCAATCACCTGAACCGGAGGCTCCCAGAAAGACCGCTCTAGAGCGAGCCAACGAGGAGATGGCCGCTCTGAAAGCATCGATGCGACGGACCATTCATGCGGAGGAGCCTGTGAAGGAGAAAAAGAAGTCTGCACTCGAAGCCATGATCCCTGAAACATCAATCAGGGGCCGGAAACGAAGGCCCGGAGCTGCCAACGTCTCGGCGAGTGAGGACGCAAAAACACTCCGCATGCTGAAGGCCTTCCAATCGCGATTGGAGAGGGCGCCCCCGGAAAAGGACAACGAACATACAACAACCGGGGCTGTGGGTGAAGAGGAAAGTACCCTTGCTCCGGACGATGAAGCTGAGTTATGTGACTTACACTTTATCGCAAATTGTCAAAGCTGTACATCCTGGGATAAGCAGGAAAAAGATGAGAGCGATGATGAAGGATGGATGTCTCACTCCCTCAGCTTCGCAGCAGACAAATTAGGCAAGGATCTTAGTAACCGTAAGAAGGCAGAAGAAGAACTTGTTGTCATTGATCCGCGCGAGAAGGCTCGGACTCTCAAGGATGAGAAGAGAGCTGCGCGCGATGCACGGCAGGGAAACTCCGGAAGAGCATGGGACCAGGCACGGGATGCAGCAAGGAATGCTAAGATGGCTCAGGCAGCATCGCTTGCAGGTCGAGGAGCAAAGTAACCGAGAAGATCAGGTAGATAGGCCAAGTGTGGTTCAAAGCTGTTGGTGACAAGTGAAGTTTGAGACCATAATAGGAATAGTCTGTGTATGATACCCAGCATAAAAGCATCAGGCCAGGTATAATAGTGCCCCTCCTAGTCTGAGCTGACATGGGATAGGATGACGCCAATGCTCGCTCGCTGAAGAAAAGTGGCATTACGAGTCGTATCTGCCGTCCCCACAATACATGTCATGGCCGATCTCGATCCTCGAGGACACATAGTAATGATGAAGTTTTGACTATTTTTCCTATAGTCGATGACCGAATTGATGCAAGTAATTAAAGTAAGACATTCTGTCTCTGAAATTGATAGAGTTCACAGACCTGAATTGGAAATAAACTGTCAAAGCGCCACCAAGAGGCTTCAGAGTCGTGGCTTTCTTCAACGTTGAAGATCGAGATACGTCGTCTTATCATCACGTGAAGACCTGGGCCCATGTCTCTTACATAAATCTGATTGGCCCAAAAATATTTGACATTCAATCCACCCGCTCCAAATGCTCCGGAAGACCCATTCGCAGCGCGACCATCAACTCCAGCATCATCAATCATCACCATCACACAAACTGCACCACCGCTCAATCGCAACATCGGTACTTGCTCGCTTCAGCTTCCGGCCTGTGCATCGCCTACTACTTGCCGTTTCAGGATGGGTATGCCGCCCACCATTTCTTATCTTCCTTGATCTATATAGAGCGAGGCCCACCGACCGAGATCACAGGCTGCCCTCCAGCCTTTTTCTTCAGACTACACCCCTTGGGCAGACGCGCTGCGCAACTCACCCTGCTTTAAGGCATCACTACGCGAGCTCCGTACACGAAGATAGAGCAAACGAGTGGCTGTCCTTAGATCCCAGTTCCGCGCCCGCGCATCTTCTTTATAATCATATCTTTAAGGCTGTGCCTCTTCACCATCAATCACATTTGGCTGTGGCTTTTGCGACAACTTTTCGCATATACCTTCCAAGGCTATCTCGCGATTCCCATCTACTCCCTCGAGACGGTCCAGCACTTTCCCTTTATCATAACCCGGACACGACCGAGCAAAAGATAAGTCGTTGACCGCTTACCACGGACGACGTTGCGCACACGCAACTACATAAGTCTTAATAAAAATCACAATTACTCTCTGGGTCATCGCCCTCCCAAGGCACGGATTACGTGAAATCGACTTCGATCGAGGCGACGAGGTGACCTGGTTCCAAGGCGACCTACATCAGGAGTCTCAAACCCATACTCGACTAGATTAGGCATCGATCGAGCCAATCCACAGAAATTTAATCTCACCGCTTCTGAAGAAGCACCGATTGACCCAGAACCATTTTCATGTCAGCGCCCAACCCAAGGAAACGAGCAGCACCAGGAGCGTCCCCAATGATGCCCATACCGCAGCCAATGCAGCCACAGTACAACGCGGGGAACCCGGCTGGCGACCAGGTGATGCGTTGGAATGGAATCGGCGACGCTTCGAGCTTCATGAACGGTGCTGATGGTATCATGGATGGGAATGCTCATGTTGGGAACTCATTTGGTCTGGTTCCGGCACAGCCACAATATGCTCAGCCTGTGTCGACGCCATCGAACACGCTGGCTCGACGGCAAATGAATCGCGCGCTTGTTCCGACCAATACCCGGCCCTATGATGGAGCAGTAGAACCATGGGGAAACTTTGTTGGCGATGATAATACTTTGCTTCAACAAAACCCCTCCGAAAACTTGAATGAGCAAGACAACGTTGAGATATTAGAGGAGATGGCCCAGAAGGCCAAGAGAGAGGCACAATCAAAGCGCAAGCAGATTCCGCCTTTCGTGCAAAAGCTGAGCAGGTAAGTTTTTCCATCGCCACGAAGTCGAAGAGGCAAACTAACCAGGTAAAGTTTCTTGGAAGAGCGCAAGAACGAAGATTTGATTCGGTGGTCGGAAAAGGGAGATTCATTCATTGTGCTTGATGAGGATGAGTTTGCGAAGACTCTAATTCCAGAACTGTTCAAACACAACAACTATGCCTCTTTTGTTAGGCAGCTCAACATGTATGGCTTCCACAAACGCGTGGGTCTGTCAGACAACTCAATGCGAGCGAGTGAGCGCAAGAACAAGAGTCCTAGCGAGTACTCAAACCCATATTTCCGACGCGGACATCCAAATCTCCTGTGGCTCATCAACAAACCCAAGAGTGGAAGCAAAGCAAAGAAGGGTGCCAAGGGTGCTGAGATCGATAACGACAGTGAGGACGAGGGAGCAACCGAGGAGATCCTCGCCTCTGGGCTAGGAGCCTCTGCAACCCAGGCTCCTCGATCATTACCGGCTGCTGATTCTCAGCCCATACCAAAGAAAGAGATGACTCTCGTTCGAGAAGAACTGAGCAAAGTCCGAGAACAACAGAAATTAATTCTCGGGGCCATCAATCGACTACAAAGAAACAACAACGATCTTTACCAACAGGCTGTCATGTTCCAGAATCAGCATGACCGTCATCAGAATTCCATCAACGCCATTCTTAACTTTCTTGCCAATGTCTTTCGAAAAACACTGGAGGATCAGGGCAACTCGCAGAATGTAAACGATATTATTTCGAGCATGCTCACGAACCAGAATCAGCAGTCCGCCCAACATGGCAGCGTGGTCGATCTGGGAGACTTCATCCAACAGATGGACCCTTCATCATTCGGCACACCTCACAAGAAGGCTCGTGGCCTGCTACCCCCTATTCCCAACCAGAGCCGCGCCCAGTCAGTTAGATCGCCTACCCCAAACAGGTCAACACCTGTCAATGCAACCTATCAAACTGTCAATCCTCACAACCCTGAGATGGGCCATGTCACAGAACTCCAGGAGAATTCACCTAGCGACACAAATTCCCCCACTCTCCGACAGGAACTAGAGGCAAACCCTCATGAGCAGATGTTGAAAATGATAAACGAACACAACGCAACCAACAATCATGGCATGGATCTGCCAGAGGCTGCTGAGCTTGTGGCCAACGCCCCCAACACGTTGAGCAATGCCCAACGAAGCAAGCTGGTGAATTTCATGGCTGGCCAATCCTCCTCTGCTCCATCTGCCAGGTCAACTCCCGCCCCAACCCCAGTCTCTGCCACACCAGTACCTGCTGCTGCCCAAATACCTACATCAAGTGCTCACATGGCCATGCCGACTATGCCTACCTCAACCTCCGTATCACCCCCACCTCCTTCGCTTTCTCCTATCATGGGACCTCCCATGGCACCGCCGTCCTTGAACGAGATCAACACCAACCAGTTGGACCTAGATCAACTTCAACGTCTTCAAAGCGAGCAAGATGCAAAGATTAGCGAACTTGGTAGTATACTTGGACCACTGAGTCCTTCTGGGCATGTACCTGGTCTAGGGGATAGCGAGGCGTACTTCGATCCTCAGTCAGCAGACTTCGATCAGTTCTTTGACAGCAACGCTTTATTTGGCGATGGGCAGTACAACACTGATGGCACTGATTTCAACTTCAGCCTTGATACAGACCCAAACCATGCGAATTCGTCACTACATGCGGGACATCCCATTCCCCATATGAGCCACCACAATACTCCAAGTCCCGCAGGTACAGAAGAAATCACCCGCAGTGACCTGCGGCTAGACACCACACCGGATCGAGGAATCAAGCGGCAACGCGTGGGTTAAAACTCTTCCGGGGAGCTCGTCAAGCTTCACACAAGACCAGGAAGTGTCTTCTCGCCGGGGAAAAGGCCGGGTTAATTTGGCCCTTGATTGTATTTATTCCCCGACACATACCTTGGGTATTTACCCTGCAGTGTTGACTAACAATCATTCTGAGCAAAGAACAGCAGCAAAGGGTTCAATAGAGCCGAAACAAAAACAGGATTGCTTTTAGACATTAAATGCTGTTATCTTGGGAGCAAAAAGGACATCCTTATAGAATCCATGTACGAACATGGAAGTATTGTTACTTATTAGGTAGTTTGGATTGATACGGGGGGGGGCAGTTGGCGCTCTTTTATGACATGATGTTTGGTCGATTGAGCACGGTTGATAGTCCTTTTTTAATCCACCACTTCTCAATATACATCGTTGTGACTCTCATCGCTGAGTGAACTCATCCTGACCATAAACTTCCATGGCAGTTGAGGAACCCTCTCTATGTTGTGTGCATAAGCGACTTGAGCGAATCAGAAGCTACAACAACTTTGTGTAACTAAAGCCTCAACAGCCACAAGTGATGTGGCTCAAACTTGTGGCGAGCCTTGTTTGTCTTTTCACACCCCCTTCCATATACATACAGTCTCAAGAATAAGGTAAAGATATGAAAAGACGGTGTAAGGCACGCGGCGGGTGTTGTTTATTTTTGCGACATATCGCGTCAGTCGTGATCTTTTAATTTCCGTCTCGTCACGGGCTTTCAATGCGCCAGTTACCTCCATCGAGGGTGGAGACGCAATTTGCCATATCGCTCTCGGCCGAGTCAACTATTGCTACCCTACATAAGGATGCGGGCTTATGTTCGCCTCGTTAATGCAGCAGATAGACTTATACGTGGCTCCTTTTCAGGGTCTTTTGCTTGTATCTGTGCACTATTTGTGAGTTTTCCCTATCTATTCTTTGGGTTTTTATGATAATTACAGTGGTGTTGTGTGTTGTCTAAAAGGGTTAATCCGTCCTGGCATCAATGCACGTAAACCGTTTAGATAACACTTACAGCGGGATCTGAGCATTGATCTCTGCCTAGCTTAGTGGTGTGCCCTAAGAAGAGACCAAGCAAGCCCATTCGACTGACAAATGTATCTTCGATGTAAGTCTACGAAGCATGGAATTACGAGTCAAGCTTGTCTCGGTGTGGCACTGAACAATACCCTACAGCATATCAGCTCCTAACCAAAAGTCCATATCAACCAACATAGGCAGCACGGCAATAGTCAGCCCATAGTAAAATCCCTCCATTACTCGTAACTTACAAGACATGCATAGAACTACCGCTGCGAGACCCGTTCTCCAGGATGTTGGTCCTGGAATGCTTGCTGCCAGCTGGAACTCTACAATGCAATACCCGACACCACACCTTAACACAACTCAGGAATGGAAACTATTGAGTCCGACATAGAATGACACAACCAGATATGATTCAATAGACTTTCTATCAAAATTAAAGAATCAGCCCTGCATGAGGATGCGCAGCCAATAGGGGTCAGCGCATCTTTCAACTCCCAGCCTGCAGCGTCCAGGGGTAGGTAGCATGAACCTGGCCAATACCAGCCACTATTAACTCCAAGCCTTGGGAAACATCCCTTAAGACAACACCACTAAGTACTATGCTAACTACCTATCTAATAATATGCCCTACTTCAGTAATTCCATGCATATGCGTCTCCTAGTCAGGGGCTCCCCATACTGCGCTGGCGGGCGGGCTGGTGTCCTTTTGCTTTCTGTTAAAGATGCGAAATTAAAGTCTCTCCACTGTGGGAAATTTCCTGACGTCAAGCTCCCAACCTCCGCTCCATCCATCGACGATCTAGATCGTTCAGCTAGAATTCGAAGACAGACAGATTCAGAGACAAGAGACGCGGCTGAGCCAGAAACACCGGCATGACGGCTGGGCTTAAGCCACGACAAGGCCAAAGTGAAACAATCGATCGCCGGGCTTATGTGAATGAATAATCACCGAGTGCCATCGGAATGAGAAAAGAATACGATTTGGAACAGTTCAAGTTAAAAGAATTTTTACTTCTTTTTTTTGTGCCTGTTTTACGTACAACTATCTATACACAGGACGGGGCCTGAAGAAAGGAACTAGCCTGACTTCGTAGATCCAACCAAAGGCACGATTAATGCCAAAATCCTCCCCCGGGACAACCAACGTTTTGTTGTTGTGCATGCCAATGGCTTCCCAACTATGTATCGCCCGCCACCCCATCCACCTTTGAAAGAATTATGCAGACGTAGTGCTGCTGTCGTGAAGAGTAGGCCGCCTCATCGTACCAGACCGAGGTCAGACACCATCGTCCCTGTTTTAATAAAGCTGGTCGGTCCATAACCGCCTATGTCCCAAAATCCGGGGGGTATCCTTTTTATCCACCGCGAGGGACCTGTGTTGGTGCATTCTCGGTCTTCTTTTTTACTTCTTCCGTCTCGAGGTTGGCCAGGCCCGTCATGTGTAATCTATGTCGTCAACCAGTTTTACCCGAACGGTGACCTGTCGTTGGTCCTCTTGGGGTATGCGGATTCCTTCCACACCGGTAGAGCAAGCCGTATGGAGCCTGAAAAAAAGAAGATGCATAAAGTTGCTAAAAAAATAATGAAAAAAGGGTATGATCCGCGTGTTCCTTTTTTTGGTGCCGCTAGACTTGATATTGAGGAGAAAAAGTTTGAATCGCAAGGAAATGGAAAGCAGTCGCTAAATGCCAAAACATATGTGAAAAGATCATTCTGTTGTGCGACCATGCAATGATTTCGAACAAGTAGTAGAATGTCGGAAAGATAGTGTAGAAGCCACGATGATGTACATGGGTGAACGTCGAAGGTCGAATCGTCGATTTAATATCTTGTCATGAAGAAGCATTATTGGTTCATGCCATGCTGGTTAACGTATCCGACGTATTGGTGTTGTTGTTGTTGTTGACCATATACTGCCGCATGGTGTGGAGGTGTTGGTGTGACTGGGCACCGAGGAGGTAAGCCATAAGACTCCTTTGCCATGTTGTGGTTACCCATCAACGAGTTACCGTCAGGGGTGATCGGGGGTGTTAGGTATCCATCGAACCCCATCGCGCTGTGTCCTTTCTGGGGAGTGCTGTAGATGTTGCTCGTGTGCTTGTTGATGGGTTCGGCTAGGGGAGTAGCTGGGTTAGCAGCTCGACGGGCGATCGCAGCTTGCTCAGCCATGAACTCGGCCAGCTTCTGCGACACCCGAGAAAAACCTGTCGTTGAGTACTTGCGTGCAAGTGTAGGCGAGGGTTGATGAAGGTGATGCGATAATGTGATCAAGGTAACGTTCTCCGTCTGGTCCCAACCTCCATCGTTAACTTCAGAGCGGCCAAGGATAGCTCGTGCGAGAGCCAGAGATGAGCGAGCCATAACAGAAGGCTTGGTGGAAACGAAGTCGCGATGGTACAAGGCAATCTCACACAGATAGGCGGCCATGTGCGCAACCTCCTGGTCATCACCCTCCTCTGCTACCATTAGTTGCGAAAAGAAGTCGACGGTGGGGTGGCCAATGATCCAATCGAGAGTGTTGAGGACGTGCATCTCCATTTGTGTAAACATGCCGGCGTCATAGAGTCCGCAGCACATGTTGTTGAGTTCGTGAATCTGGGGAACGCGGTCCTTCTTGTCACCATACTTGGCAGCGATGAGTAGTGCAGCGCATCCAACCAGCTGGTAGTGTTGCTTGTACACAACTCGCTTAGAGCAGTATCGATCGAGGAGGTTAACAGTGAGGAAGAGAGTCTCGGGGAGGAGGCCGAAGGCGGCATGGGCCTCGATGAGGAAGTCGATCAAGTAAGGTCGCATGAACCACTGAATCTCGCGCTGCATATCGATGAGGGAAGCATCTGGTAGAGTCTCGTCCTAAACATTTGGTGTTAGCAGCTGAGACGTGGTGGATGTCAGTCAATGTGGCAACATACCTCCATTTGTCGCATATGCTGCATGATATCCTCGAGGTACTCATCGCCTGCTAACCGTGATAGCTCAACGCCGATGATGTCTTGCCGTTGACGGGCCATCATTCGCGCTGCTTCTTGGGCTGTGATTCTGTGGTGAGGTTCTTCAGACTCGACGAAGTAAGAGTCGTCATGTTGAGAGTAGGCCATATTGGGTGGTAGGTGATTGGAGTTTCTCAGGTTGGTGGTGATTGGGCAGAATAGTGCCTGTGGCTTGGTGTCAAAGGAGAGACTGTTTGTTCGCCAGGAATCTTGTGGTCGGAAAATCGCAAAGGACAGAGAGTGAGTTACTTTGGCTGCAAGAAGGAGTGATGCGAAGCCGATTAATTAGGATATTAAGATATTAAAGAACGTGGGTGAAAATGATGAAAAGAGTGACCGCGGCTGGTAACGAGACCAGGAGCATGTAGATAGTGGAGTTAAAAAGGAAAAGGGATTGGAAAGGGGGCCGTTTAAAGACGAGATCGACTCAAGGGCTCTAATGCGGTATGTGCGTCAGTATCAAGTTTAATACTAGCGGAATCTCGATTTTGCCAAGCTCGTGACTCGCTCGAGGCATTACATTACACAGCGAAATGCACCGATGCAACTATCCCTTGGTCGATAGAGGCACGAGCATGGTATCGAGGGGAGAGGGGCAGGTCTTACAGCCACACGTCAGGGAGATGGGCAAAGCTCGTTGAGATGAGACAGTCCCTGAATCGAATCAAGCAGGAATAACGAGCTAACGTCTCCCACTGGGCAAATTTCAAGGAGAAAAAGCGTGGTGGTGGTGGTTGTTGGTGAGGAGAGCGGTATGCGGGAGTTGAACGCTCGGCATGCAGCTATACGGAAATTAGATATGATATGTCCCCAGCGCCCGTGCAGCAACGGCGATGACATACCTTTCCTACGCTCGTGAACGCTTCTGATGGTTCGATTATCGAGTCAGGAAGACAGCGATGTAACCGAACAGGCCGCGATTAATTAAATCACGACTGCGTGTGTGTGGATGGATGGCACGGAATT